CACGCACACGCGCCTGGCGTGAGTTTTAAGCCACGGGTCAGGGACACAAACCGCGGTGGGCTACGTGGGAGTCCAGTGACATAGCCATTACGCTAACTGCTGGTTCCCCAAAGTAAATTTTTTTAATGTTAAAATAATATGAAAGTGTATTCGCGGAGGGTTTAGGGTGTGTACAGCTTCCACGGTAAATTTTTAAACTTTATTTATTTTAATTTTGATCAGAGAGAGACAGAATGAGAGAGGAAAGTGAGAAAGCAAGCCCCTGGGTCCAGGACTCGAACCGCGGTCAGGCCAAATGCCCAAGGAGCCAAGAAGGGATTTAAGGCCCAGAAATCTCTCCTACAGAGTCTGCAATTCTGTGTATACTTCAGCTGAATGAATGTATAGCACTGAATAACCTTGCACAATCCTCACCAGTCTCTCTGATGTTTCACTATAAAGCAGACAGAAACACATACACACAGAAAAATCCATGCACTACAACCTAGCAGCTATGCCTGCTGTCTAGGGTCCATCACTTCACTACCCAGAACTTCAAAGGCCCTCCTATTTCACGTGGAAATCCAGCGCCCTTAACCACACCACCTTACGGCACCACCACGGTAAATTTTTTAAATGGGGGAAATAAGAATTAGATTTTTGGCTCTTAAATCAGGACAAGATTTTGTGGTCCATTTAATCCTGAAAACCATGGTTAGGCACTACCTCCTTTCGCGGAGGCTCGAAGAGGCGAAGAAATGTGCACAATCCCGCGGTGGGAGGCCGAGCAAGACACTTGTCCCCAAGGGCGGCGCAGCATCAGTTGCCTAAAGCTGGAGCGGAGCACAAACCTCCCACGTGCGGACTGAACAACCCCCCACCTCCTTCCCACCAACACAAGCGATTTCCGGAAGCTCCCCTGAGAGCTCAGCGCGCTTGCGCAGCCCCGCCTAGTGACGGCAACCACGCTGTCCCGCCCCCTCCTGGAACGCGAAGGTGCTGAGCGGGCCGGCGGCCATTTTGTGAAGCAGCGAAGGAGGTGGTGTCTGCGGTGGGCTCCGGGAAGCCGTTCGCGCTGGGGCTGTCGGCCGCGGGGCGGAGGCACTCGCGTGGGGGGTAACGCGGGTCTGGGGTCTGGTGCCGCGCAGATCTCCCCGGTAAGACTCACAC